GGGTTTGGGGGTAGGTTTTTGGGACTATGCCTGGCAATATAACATCAGGGGGGTCTTGGGTTTAGGGATCATACAGTAAAGACGGGAAAGAACATTGAAATCACCATTTAGCGCTTACGGTTTAGGGACATATTCCCCAATAATGGAGGATCAAGTGGAACATCTTTATATAGGGGTTTGAGGACCATAATCGTCACTGTGCTTCCATCATCTGGCATCTTGTGTAGGATTGGCTGCAAATACTCAGGGAGCCTTTCGACAAATTGCACCTGAAAGGTTGAGCCTTGTCGGTCTTTGACCCCAAATGAGTTCCCAAAATGAGGGCCACCCTCTTTGCCACAAGACACTACTTCGACAGTACTTCCCTCATGGTCAGGAAAGCAGACCAACACTGGTGCGAAGCGCTATGTAAGCAGAAGTGACTCAGAAGTGCACTTCCAAAACTCAGTGTCCCGCTTATTATAGTGTATGCTCCAAAACCTTTGAAGAGGACCTCCAATTCTAGATCGTGCGTCTATCTGGAAAAGAAAAGAGTCCAGCGTCTCGGGTGAGACGGACGGCTGCCCTACCCTAGGCCCTATTTCCAATTTGTGGAACGCTGCAGAAAAAAGAGCAATTTCAATGAACCACGGTGGTCCTTACCTCCTTCTTGTCCCCACGGCACTGAAGTGTGTGGCGAGCATGTGAATGACCTGGGGGGCAACCCCGTCTTTCTGGTGGTTTGTAGGGACTGGGGCAGGAAAGGGATTAAAGGGATGGCAGTAAAGCGGAATATAAGGATTATGCTCGCGTTCGAGGAACTTCTCCGGGAGGCAGGCAATTTTACATGCAAGTCGCTCTATCTCAAAAGCCGACTGCGAGTGCAAACCACGATGCAAATTTAGACTATAGATCCGACTTTGCCATACAGCATGAGGGAAGGAGACAACAAAGATACTTTAAAAAAGGGTTATATGGTAGTTTCCCTAAATGAGGGACTCCAATATGCATCCAAATATGCTAAGCCTTATTATGGGGACCCCCATAATAGCACGCCTAATTTTGCGAACCCCCCCATATCATAAGGGTTGTCGTATGGATCCACTCTCCCGCTCCCCCTTGGGCACTGGGAAACAAAGTTTTGCGCAGCTCACGCATGCCAGAAAGTCCGTCTATCGCGCCCGGTACCTGTACCCACCAGCCAGAGAGATACAACCTCCTTCGAACGCGGTTGTTCAAAACGAAAACTAAGTTGCTAAAGTTGCTGTAATTAGGAAATCCTGGTATGGACTATGTACCCATATTATGGTAACTTAATCCCTAAACCCTATTTACCTACAGTCTGGTAACTTGATTTTCCTTAACAGCAACCCTAAACCCTACATACCCATTTTCTGGTAACGAAATTCAAGTTCCTTAACAGCAACCCAGTAAAGATTCCCGATCCCCCGAGACCGCAAGCTGATTTGTAGTCGGATTCTTGCAAGGTTCTGAGAATGACGGTTTAGGGTTTAGGGGCTTTAGGGGTTTAGGGGTTTTACCCCCAGAAATTGTAGAAAAAATGGAAAAGAAAATACAAAGTACTACATGATAATATAATTGGGTTATAGTAGGGAATATGGGAATAGAATCCCTATGGGGATAAGGACCGGCCAGATGGATAGGGATATCCGATGTACCACGAGAAGATGGAGATATCCCTTAACAAGCTTATGTTCACGTTCTTCTTGCTCGTACTGAAATAGGGGGCCATAAGCTAGACTTAACACAGAAGATTTTTAAGACGTGCTGAATCCAATACTTTCTTCAGCCCAAGCTTCCAGAACACAGTAGGACCTGCGAAATGAATTGGAAAAAACACACCGTGTTCAGCATTCCGTTCCTTCAGCGTCTAGAGTCTACTATGGCCTCTAACTTCAGGCCAAAACACGGTTCAGGGTTTAGGGTTTAGGGTTTAGGGTTTAGGGTCTGATAGCCACAAAGAGAATCATTGCGGATAATATTCTCAAACACTTGCTGTTCCTTATCGCTCGTCTTCTGGGTTGGCCCCTAAAAAACGCTGGAAAATATTAGTATATAGGGTCCCCTATTAAAGCCTTTGGGGAAAATGATAAATATCGCAGGGGCCTACCCAGTCTTACCCAAACCCTAAATCCTAAGCCCTGTCTTGAGCTTTGAAAGGCAACCAAGAGACATGCTGTACGTCGGAAAGCCACCCGGAGGAAAGACCGTGTAAGACAAGGCCATAAACTCCTTAGAATAGGGGTTTAGGGATTTAGGGTTTAAGGGTTTAGGGTTTAGGGTTCAGGGGTTCAGGGTTTAAGGGTTTGGGGGTTTAGGGTTTAGGGGTTTAGGGTTTAGGGGTTTAGGGTTTGGGGGTTTAGGGGTTTAGAGTTCAGGGGTTTAAAGTTTAGGGGTTTAGGGATTTAGGGGTTTAGGGTTTAAGGTTTTAGCGTTTTAGGGTTTAGGGGTATGTCGTAATTCAAGGCCTTAATATCTGTGATTATGCCCGCTGACCGGGAAACGTGACACACACGTACGATGCAAGCATCATGTGGTGATACGCGTTCTCAGAGATCATGCTATAGTACGTGCGGGCGCCACAGGGTGAGCCTTTCAAGAGCAAAAAGAGAAACACTCTGACTTGGTACAGGGTCGCAAGCAAACGGCTAGGGCGTGGGGTATGGCTTTTGCTAGCAGATGGTGAAGGTAGTTCCTCTACAGCAGATGGAATAGATGGATGAACACTGCTGTCGCGGCGCAAGGCTGCAGGGCTCGTGCTTTCACTTCATGCTGGATATTGCCTGCTTAAGCATGGCGAGTCAAGAGTCCTCCTGCAATATTGATTAGTCTAGAAGCAAGTAGGAAATGTCAAAGAACTCCTGTGCAACAGTAAGTTGGTGTGCGAGGAGGAGTGGCAAGGGTCTTGACCCCAGAAGTGTAGACAAGCTGCGCTGAGATCCGTGAGCTGCGCGCACGAACTGCAGGACTTGCCTTGACCCTTCGAGGCTTCCTGCAGTGAGCTTAAAAGCGTGAAGCTTTGGGAAATTCTGGCTGGCAGCCTCCCAGAGTTGTTCTCAACACACCACCCCCCGTTTCTGACAACACCCTTTGAAGCTTTGGGATGACGAAGTTAGAGATGAAGTGCCTTCACACAAATTTGAAGCTTCCAAGATTGGATTGACGCATCTTGCGCAAGCCTTCACTGCGAACTAGTCTACCCAACTGAGGATTCCCAATGTTCCTTGATCAGGGAATCTTCAGTAATGATGTTGGGCTCCTATAAAACAACTCTCAAGTCAAAGGCTCCAGCAAACCTCAAAGCTATGGGCATCCGGTCTATTTACCCCAACGTCATAGAAATTTATGGGATGCTCCTAAACCCAGACTGGACACAAAGTATGTTGAATAATGGTTGCCTTGACTTTTTGTAGGTTTGCTGTGTCATTATCTTAATCTGTTTTGGTTTGTGGTCCGAGGGAGGGGGGGAGGAGTCTTAAGAGGACCAAACTGCAGACAAGGCCTACATGACCCGACCAGAAACAGCAGAGAAGACTAGAGAAAACAAGTAAGAACCAGAATCCGACAGCAACCAGCGTTGAACCCCAAGCCCGACATGAAGCCTAAAAGTCTAAGCCCCAAACCCCCTCAAACCTCACACACCCCTTAAACAATTCAACCCTGAAACACTCCACACGGCCCTCTCCGCCTGTGCCAATGGTGAACCTCCAGCCATGCGCCGGGAATACGCCACGCTGATGCCCAAGCAGAGAAGAAGCGCCACCATCGAGCCCATGACAGCCATAGTGGCAGTTAGTAAGAACGGAAAAAAAAAAAAAAAAAACGTTGCAAGTCAAGGGCTGAACTAACAAGCACCAAACCGACTACGAGAAATTCCGACGGTTGCCTCGCCGTGTTCACGCAGCTTTCGACTTCTTGTAGCGTCTAGAGCTCGGGGCTTAAGGGAAGCTGAAATCCCAGGTGTGGACAAAAAGAGAAAGCAGGGCCTACATGGCGCTCCTCTTCCACTCCATCTAGTAAAGACGGGCTCGTTCTGGGCTTAGCAGGAGACAAGGATTTCGCAGGCTGCGACCAGCCTTGGGCCAGAAAGCGATGAGACATTCTCCGTCCTGCACGACTGCCGATGGAAGCCCTGCAAATGTCCCAAGTTAAGACACGCACAAGATGGGCCATTTCTTTCAAAGATCTCAACATGAAAGAAGAGCCCTTTTGAGAGGCTTGCTTAGCCTCTAGTCTACACATTCCTCCAGGACATCCCATTTACTCCATGTGAGCACAACATAAAGCACCTCAAAGCCCTGTTCCAACGATGTAGGGCCTTACCTCTACCCCTGAGCCTTCTAGTAGTCACGAGGCCTTTCGTTGAAGCCTGCAAACTGGGAGATTGTCCCCATGATTCGTATAGATACCCACGGTATATTATTGACGAAACACCTTATTGTTGTTCCGTATCTAGGCCCCAACACACTAATCACATACCCATGTCATTTTTGACGTCATGTTCATGTCAGTCCTAAGGCACTACATTAGCTTCGGAGAATATCGTAGATTGCTGGAGCCCTCAAGATCGATTAGCCCCTTTGGAAATGCTCCTTCGAAGGGAGTATATATGAGGTTTCTTTAGCGGCTCCAAGGTGCAAAAGGGTCAGGGTTTAGGGTTGCGTGACCCTGAGACCTTGAGTGCCTTATGATGCAACACTGCAACATTTGTTGTACACTCTAGCCGTGCTGCCTCTTTCTGAGATAGGGAATCCAAGTACTCAAATATTCGCGTTCTAGGTCCCAACAACCATGCAGAATTATGCTAGTTATGTGGGACCTAAAGCCCACATACTTGGGTACGTGTACCCCAGGGGCTAATTCTCCGAGACCTTAATGAACCCTGTGATTCTCCAGGGCTTCTGGGGATCTAGAATGAAGGAATGGATCCTTATAGTAGTCCCTTCCCTTCCATTCCTTCATTCCCGGCTAACCAAAGGTAAGCTTGGAAACAGCGAAGCCTTCCCGAACGATCTCTGCCAGTCCGGGTGCATCCCGGGTCATGGCATAGCCTCGAACCAATTGCTCGTGTTCAAGTAGCAGGACTACGGGTTTAGGGTTTAGGGTTTAGAAGGCTTTTTTTTGGAGGAACCCACCCCCCACTGTAATAGTGGTATAATTAATGGGGAATATGATATGTCCTTCTTATCCCTTATAGTCACGGTTACTGGGTGAGTGGGACCACCTAAAACATATTCTATAATGAGCAAGGCTACTAAAGACGATAATCTATTTGCTGGGAAGCTCCTGGTGACGATTAACAACAATACTTGGGCCCGACAGCTTGTCGAACACTAATATTTCCTATTTCGAATATGGGTCCATCATTCTACCTACTCTTGGAGCTCACGAGATATTAAAAAACTCACCATACTAGTAGGAATAACAAGAAGAAGCCGAAGAATAATGGGTCAATATTAAAAATCTTAGTTGGGAACCGGGGGGGAGTAGTGTCGCGGTGGGGGCGGTTTAAGATTTGGGGAGGGGACTTGTAACAGCTGACAAGGCGCCATGTCCCACTCGATGAGCCCCGAAGTCAAACACTGCATGGCGCACGTTCTCCTTGACCGCGGTGTCTGCTTTCGTTGTCAGGTCTCAGGGGTATTGGGCCCAACAGAGGAATAGACTTGGAACGTTCTCTTTCTTGCGGCATGTGTCGTATCCTAAGTCCCGACATGTCCCGACCATGAAACACCCCAACTGGGCTTGCTGTTGGGGCGTCCGATTTTCCAACGAACTGAGGGCTATGAACCAAAATTATTTACTTCGAGCATCC